AATGTTAAAATAAGGAAACTTCCTGGAAAAGCACCAGCCTATCTTCAACTTGATATACTAGTCATTGCTAACATTTAAGTGGTAAAATGTTAATCTTTTTTGAGTGCTATGTACCACAGGAAGATCACAGATATGATCTGACTGAATTCTGCTGTGCTTAGTCATTCTGTTAACTCTCTGGTTTGAACAACCTGCTTTAGAGCAATAAACTCAGTTAACAATATCTGAATCATAACTGGATTAATGGTTATTCAGCTAGCATATAGCTAGACCTGAATTGCGTCGCTTGCAAACTTGTTCTCATTTATCCTAAAGTTTGAAAAGGTGTCCCAGAAATACTGTTTGCAATTATGGTTTTCAGAACTGGCCTGTTGGTATACCCTAAAGACACTGTTGCAGAAGTTCAACAGCACAGCAAGGCAGAGTTAGAGGCCGAGCAACAGACACGAACAGCAAGAGCTGTAGAAAGATTTGTTAGTAACAGTTGTTTGGAAATGTCTTTTCTGTGTTGTGGGCAGAGATCAGAAATACCTCCTCTGACTCCAACACAGTGATGTTACGGTGGGAAAAATAAGGACGTGGGAAGTATATCCATCTCCCTTGATCTAAACAGCATGGAAGTTGAATAGCTATGTTTTCTGAACAGAACTGCATCGAAGTTCAAAGAGCCAGACGGCTGGCTTAATTGCATTTCAAGGGTAATATTATATTCTTTGTATGACACTATAGTAGCGTTATTTTAAAGAAAAATTATTTCAGTGAAGTTATCATCATTAGTGAGTATGTAACAGATCCCTTAAAACACTGGTGTATTATCATTTGAGAGTCCCTAGTGCAAACCAGACAGCTTGGCTCTATGTAATCTTTATGTGTAGGGTACATGCCATGCATGAAGGGTCTGCGCCTAGCTTCAGTCTAGATCTCCTGGATCCTGTGGAAAAGTATCACATAGCAAGCTAATTGAATGTTACGTTCCAAGCCAGGTGCTCTTTGGAAAGGCTGGAAAGAGAAGGTTAGAGTCAGGCTGAAGGGCTTATGACATTTTCATAAGCTGTGGGGAAAATGGAAAATCAAATACCTTGTCCAAATCTTTGTGATTTGGCAGCAGATGTGCTGATGTTAATCTTTTTCTTTGAGATTTTTAAAAATCCTTAAAAACAAACAAACAAAAAACAACCATTCCCGAAAAGTTCCTTACTCATTGAATCATTGACAGCAAACAATAAAAAAATTTCAGACAACTCTCAAATACCTGAATCACCAGTCCGGTTTTCCAGCAAGATAGTATCATTGCTGTGACTGCAAAAGGCAAAATCCTAGTCTGAAATGCAGGCAGTGACTTATTGTTTCTGGTGGCACAGTATATTAGTCCTTTTGTTTTGTACTGATGCACAGTCTGTACTACTACTTCAGAACAGTGTCTGTTGCCTGTGCTTGCTGGAGTAGTAAGGCTGTAGTGTTTGTATCAGCATCCAAATCCTTGAAGACCCAAGGAAGCCTACCTACACTTACGGAGTTTAACATTCTTTCATTAGGCACTGCTAGATGTTTACAGCCTTGTGCTTATATTTTTTGGTGTGGAAAATGGTATAAATTGACATGTTGGCTAGCTTTGAGTAGTGACGAAAAACATCTGTGAGGATAACCAGTATTATCACCTTGTTGACTGCACAATATCAATCCATCCATTTAATACTGGAATATGACAAAACTGAAAGAGTAGAAATTCAAGACCTTTTCTGCAGGAGGAGATGTAGCTGGCAAACAGTCTGTTGGTGTAGTGCAGCTCAAGAGTTCTTTTGGCAGAATACATTCACATTTGGCTGCTTCTGTTGGCAATATATTTCTTCATGGCTTCAGGTTGTATTGACAAAATATATGTAGCACTGTAAGAGGATCTCAGTAGCTGTGCCTGTAGTGCTCTGCAATGCTACTCTTGAAGCCAAATGTGCTAACTAGTCATTCTGCACTTGTTATAGCATCGTTAGAGCTGAACGTGGGGACGCATGGAAACAGTTGACTGTCCAGCAGGAAGAATATTGGGTAGTGCTGGAGTTTTAAAGTTTATTCAAAAGTGTACTTACTCGGCTGTGTGGATAGGTTCTGTGCCTGGTTAATAGGTTCTGTGCCTGGTTAATTAATTAAGTAGTCTGTACAGATAAGTTGGTTCCTTGACCTTCCTTAGGCAGCTGTCGTTGCTTGCTGTTGTAAGACTCTGCAATGGTGGAGTGTCGATTACCAGTTTAGGAAAAATAGTTCAGGCTTCTTTAGATCCATTTCTTTTCTGTTTACCATGTAAACTATTCCACATGGGAAGTCATACCCTCCAGATCCCAGTCAGTCCACAGAGTTGGGTCTGGCAGCTTAGGAGTCATGGAGTAGCTTTGGGCATCCATGCCCTTATGGAGGGAGCTGGTTGCCCAGTAGTCTGGAAACAATGGAAACTCTAACAGCTACAACAAAAAGTCTCTGAGAGGAGTGAGTGTATGCCACAGGCTCACTGGGTGGGGTTCATCTTACCAAATGCAGACAATTCCTTTTCTGGTCTTCATTTATTGTGTATGGAGGAAAATAGGCATTTTTATGGCTTGGGTTTTTTTATTTTGCAGCACAATTTATCTCATCCCAATGTCACTAAAATAAACCAGATGAATCACTCCCTAAATGCCTGTTTTCTCCATTGGTTTTAAAGAAGGCCTTAGATGACTCTTGCAGCTCTAAAAGTTGTTCTGCAGCTGACTAACACTGGTTGTAATGGGTTGCCTTTTATTTTAATGGCTGTAGGCCAAGAGAGAACTTGCATTGCTAAGGGAAACTGTCCTAGCTTTTTGTCCCTGATTTTCTCAAGGGGACTGGAAATGGTGCAGGAATGCATAGAATTGTGCTAGCTAAAGGTTATTTTTCCTAGTGATTAATAGTTATACAATAAAGAAGTGTTGTTCCAGAATGAAGTGTCAAATTCATCCATGCTTAAAGTCTTCAGCATTTTAACCTATACTCCTAGGTTGTCGGGTTTTTTTTTTTTTTTAGCTTTTTTTAGGAAAATAGACTTTATGTGACCAGATATGCACAGTGGGTATTTCTGGAAAAGATGCTGCTGGTTGATCATCTCTGCTTCCAGGATTTGAGCAGATACAGTGTGCCCTGGCCAACTTCCAAATTACTGGATTTTACGTCCTGGAGACATCTTGCATATTTACTTCTTTTTTTCTTAGATAATTGCTGTAAGCTCTTCTCTTTTTGTGGGGGTGTTTGGTTGTTGTTGTTTTTTTTTTGTTTTTTTTTTTTTAACCTTTTATTTTTTATAAATGGAAGGCATCTGAGAATCAAGATGCTGGGGCCTATTCTATAGAGCTGGGGTATAGGAAACCAGATAAATAGGATGGATGAGGTATGGGAGGTAGCTATGGCAGAAGAGGAACAGATTCCACTTTTTTTTTTTTTCCCCAATGAGATGTACCTGCTGAATTAATTTTCCTTGAGCTCTGTGTGTCCATCCACAACACTGTACTCTGTGGTGTGTTTCAGCATTTTACAACAAGCAAGTGTTACTCAATTCCTCCCATAGAAGCTGAGTGGATCAGGAAGAGAAGGGACCTGTTGTCAAAGAGTTTAGGAGAGAAAGGGATGTCTTCCAATTGCTGGTGGTAAAGTATGGGGCTTTCTGTTACTCGACACAGTACTGCATAATTGAACTCTTAAAGCCATCAGCAGGTTTGTTACAATTGTGGAACAGACATTTTGAGACTTGTCAAAAATAATTTTTTGTGTTTTTGCATAATGTGTGCAGGACAACATTCTACCTACACATTTCCATTGCAGTGACTGGGTAGACTCCAGAAGAAACCTTCTATTGGAGAATAATAGAGGCAACGAAGTTCCTCTATTCCTCTACAGGAGCTGGAGAGATTGTGGAGTGTCCTTTTCTGGAGCTATTCAGACCCCACCTGGGTGCTTTCCTGCGTGACCTAATGTAGGGAACTTGCTTTAGCAGAGTTTGACTAGATGATCCCCAGAGGTTCCTTCCAGCCTCTATGATTCAATTCTTTTTCCAAGCAGAAGTCAGCAAGAATTAGCACTGTGCAATAGGATGGAATATTTATGACCAAATAAAGCCTTTTCTTCCCTGATAATGTATTGAGTTATTGTGGCAATACAGGGAAATCTCTACAAGCAGGTTGCATAACAGACATTCAAGGACGTTTCTATGTGCATTTTGAAAACAGTATCTGAGTATAGGCACCCTGATTTGAGCTCTCTTTTATGAAAGTTACATCTTGTTTTGAGACATAAACATTAAAACTGTATGTTTCAACATTAAATTCTATACAGCATGCAGCCAAGAATTTGTCACTGAGACAAATCCCTTGAACTTGGTACCAGTTTGAAGTCTCATTAGTACTTAGAACTGGGTTTGATACGTGCCCATTTCAAGTCTTCTATTCTGCCACATGGAGAAGTTTTATTACTTCTGCTCACTCTTTCTTTATCAACAGTGTAGCATTGGATATACTCATGAAAATGTATTTTTGGTGAAGCAAGGCCTAGATTAAAGGGATATTTTATGAAAAACAGTAACACTTTTCCTCACTCCTGTCAAGTCTTAATGCTTAGAAAATCCAGATTTGTATGAGCTAGTTAGCCTACCTATTGTTATATCAATATATTACAACATGAACTCCTGGTTATTAAACATTCTTTTCCCATCTTTTCTATGCTATTTGCTTTTTCTTCTGAATTCTTTATGTGAACTCTCTGTTGAAACAGTTGAAATTGATTTAAAAACTCTCTTTCAAAAATGTTTTCAATTCTTCATTCCCCCACCCCCAAAACAGAATGTTAGTATTTCAATGCAAAATGTGATGACAGTGTCAGTGGTGGTCAACTTTTGAGTCAGTTGAAAGACTTGGTGAAAGGATCAAGAAACAAAAGAGCCTAAAAGAGTTGCATTTTTGAAATGACTGTATTTACAAGAGTGTTATCTTTGTTTTCTCTTTCAGTCCCTGGCTTGAGCTGAATAACCAGCCACTGTAAATTGATACTGTCTTATCTGTATCAGAGGATTCTGTCTGGAGGTAAGAAATTTGAATAACAGTAGTATAACAGTGACCTCTTGTATATATTTGAACTCAGTGGTCAGCTATTGCTTAACACCACTGCTTTCTGATGGTGAAGATCTGATGTCATTTTCCAAGTGACTTATGCAATCAGCAGTGCCAAGGGAACTGTAGCTGGCAGCAGACAGAAAAGATTTCTAACAATGGATCTTATGGATAAATAACTCTCCTGCAGGCTGCTGCTCTTTTATAGCCCTTAAAATTAGTTAACAAGGAGGTGAATATCTGTCACTAATGTTATTGCCATCCTTACCTCTGCTTAATTTTGAGTTACTGTTGATTTTCAGACTATGAAAATGGGAAAATGAATTTGGAAAGCAAAGTTGGCAAGAATCATCATCAAATGTACTGACATAGTTCATGTTTTGTGATTATGTGAATCTGGAATTTCATGGAAAGGAGACCAGTTTCATGTAAGAAAGTCCAAGTTTCAATTTGTATGACCTAAAATAGATGTTCTTGAACACTGAAATTAAATTTCAGCGAATCAATACCACTTACCCCAGTGGTTAGAAAAAGAAGACTGGGCTAAGTTTTGAGGTACATGTGTAGGACTGATGATTGCTGCAAAATGAATAAACTGTTAACTACACAACCGTGGCACTTGCTGACTTTCTTGCCATTAGCAATATGCTTTCTAAAGTGATCCGACTATTACATTTGTTGCCTTGGAATAGTGAACTTGTGTTCAGAAAGGAAGCACTAAATGAACATTATTGAAAAACTATTAACCTAAAGTTTAAGAGCTGCTTAAGGCACATGACTAATAGTCTAATTTGCAGGGATGACCTTATGAAATTGAAAAGTCTCTTGCTGACTTTTCTGTTTAACCTTGTTCTCTGAACAGGGTTTTATCAGGTAACCAAAGAATTTTTGAGGATAACCCTAAGTAGTGTTGATAATCTCACACTGAACTATCACAAATGAAATGAACTAAAAGTATTTATATTATGATACATCATAAGATGCAAAAGATATTGTGTGCCATTAGTTTATGAGCCAGAACACTTGTAAATTGCTGTTTCAAAGGAAGCCCATAGCAGCATAATGATACTGGAGCTGTTTATCTCAGATGTGGTACTCAATTTTACCACTTTACTTGGACCTATCAGTCACTTGAATCCAAGAGTTAATGATGTTTGTGACAGCAACATTTGGTTACTAAATATTTTCTTAAAGAAATTTAAGAGTTAAGACCCTGTATCATCTATACTCTAAAATCAAAAATGGAATATGGATGGAAGAGGTCCAGTACTCTATATGGGTGTTTGTTTCATCCAACTTAAAGTCTGTTATTTTCACTGAGCAACACAAAAAGAATGTAGAGTTAAGCTTTGGTCCCACTGTCCCCTCTAGCTGTGGACTTTTAGTAAGATCTCACCTGTGATATATTTCTGGCCAGGCTGAGCTTTCTTTTCTCCACAATTACACCCTGCTGTGGCTGTGGATTATTTGCTTTTGGTTTTGATTTTATTTATTTATTTTGAGAACAAGAGGAAGTAGTACCTTTTTATTTAGACCAATGAACCTGAATAGGGATTTTCTCTGATTAGACTTAAAGCGCTACTTGAGGTTGCTGCTGTAATAAGTAATGGTACAGTCTAACAAAGTACCAGCCTACATTTATTTACTGCACCACGTTTCTGATGTGTGATTGGAATCTGGAGGCAGAAGGCAGCTGGAGGTGATTTGACGTCAAACCATCAAAGCTGTCATTCTGGCCTTACTTGGCCGCAGAACTAATTGAGCGGACACTGTTTTTCTTGCTGTTAATTCACTGAAGCTGTGAACACTTGGAAATTCTACAGAAGTTTGAAGGACCATTGTAAGTTAAAATTATGCTTCTGTTAGAATATATTGCTTGCCACTGTTAACTCTCTGGTGGGGGCTGGAGCATGTGGGCAAAGGTGGGAGTTACCAGTTGTTAAGTTGTTTGGGTATTTCACAGTGTTTTCATTATAAACAGGAAAAGGTGAAGAATTAATAATATAAAATAAAGTCTCATGTTTGGAAGCTGTGTTCTGCAGGCAGAGCTCTGTTGACTTAACCAGATGAAATTCCTGTGGAAAGCCTTCTCTTTTGCCAGTTGAGTAAGTCTAATAGCATTTCAAGCTAAAACAAACTTTGAAGGATTTGTAATAACAACTTCCTATGGTACGACAGAGACAACAACGTGTCCGTGACTTGAAACTAGTCATCTGACAGTGCCAGTTTGTCTCTGACCTACTTTCTGCTTGCACTTCGTAAAGAACCATGAGAAGCAAAATTGAGGATGAGGGAAGATGAGAAAGTTGGAGGGGCAGACAGGAGAGGCAGAATGTTGGGTGGCTTTCACTTGCCTTGAATCTCATAATTTTTAACCAAGGGAAAACAAGAGTTGTTGGGAATGATGAAAGAATACAACTTTCTGATGAAATAGAAGCCCAGAAGAATGATTTCTTTCTCCTGGCTATCAACAGGGGCTAATGTAGGGACTGCAGTGTCTGAATAGTTGCTGCAAGAATCTCACTGCTTTCTACCTAAGATGCTTGGAAAAAAAAATCTGTCTTCTCAGAATAGCCTATGTCTCAGATGTTCCTGTTCTCCTTGCCAAATCTGCTGTACCTAGAACCAGGATGGCAGAATGTGTGAGCAGCTGGTTCACAAGGTGGGTTTTGTTTGTCAGTCATGTGGTGAAGTGGAGCAGCTAAAGTATACAGTGCCATACTGGTCTGTGCTGCTGAGTCTTGCTTTTTTGGTGTCATTGATTCTGTAGCTGAAGCTTGAATGCATGTAATGTGAACTAGTAAGCCACAATCTACAGCTGGCAGCTGGAACAAAATCTTACAACACGTGTATTTGGAACATATGGGATCTAACAGGAGCTGATCACTGGATTCTTGAAATCCCTGCCTTTTCTTACTGTGGAAAAAATGTCTATTCTACTCAATCAGGAAACCCTGGACAGTTGATTTTTCTTCTGAAAACTCGAGCCATTTTCACTTCATTGTGCCCATTTCCTGTGCTTTGCAATTACTTATGAGAAATACCCATGGCTACTTTTTAACTTGCTGCAAAAACTATTAAAAATCCTACTGAGGCTGGGAAGTTTACTATTAATACTAAAGCAGCCTGGTTTACAGCTCTACCAACACAGTGTACATCCTGATCTGCCCTGGCTTCTGACATTCAGGAAAATGATTAACTTGTGAACTTGTATGGTTTTCCTCATGAATGAATTCTGCAAGAGATACATGTGTAAGTACAGCTTCAGTGCGTAATCAAGGCAAATATGCAGACCTTTGAAAGAACCACTGTGTTCTCCAAAACATTTATAGGTTAGATGAATAAAATAATGAAAAATAATGAAGTCATTGAGAGTGTTCGGATTTGGTGCAGAACATGACCCCCAGTTATGAAATAATTAGGCAATAAGACACAGTGACCATTTGAACATGCTAATTAGTACACTCAGCAGTGCTGATGTGATGACTGACCTCTTGATCAATGTACCCAAGCTAAAATTGTGAGCTGTACCTGTCATCAAAGGCACAGAAGATCTAGAGCTGGAATAGCCCATGTTCTCTCTGAGTTTCACAGAGGAAATGTGGAGGCACTGAAGTTCTCAGCAGCTGTTCCTGTAACAATATAAGGCTTGGCTTACTGCAAGTCAAGTTTTAACAGGCATTGTTTTTCTTCAAAGCATATTCTTTCTTTGTTATTTCTATTGCTGTTGTACCTTCAGCATATGACGGGCAATAACCACAGCTTTGCTAGTTTTCATTGCTTGGACAATGAAGTGCTTCATTATGTGACAGCTATCATGAAATCTTAAAAAGCCTGAACTTCAGGCCAGGCCATAAGAAGTCTAAAGACAGAAGAAGTGCAGTAGACACGGCAAGCTGAGCAAAACCCTAAAAGCTGAAATAATCTGAGGCCATTAACATTTAAAGGTTTTTTGTAAAGCCTTTCTATAGTTGTTTCTCTTGGACTAGCCTATAGCTGTTATCCTGGGTTGATGTGCTAATTAGCAGTCTTGGGAGCCAAAGAATGTCTGGGTGTGGGAACAAGTGCTTCCTCCAGTAACTAGAGGTTCTCCAGGGCTGACCGCACTGCATGGGTGAAGTATTTAAAGAAACAGGCACTATGGTATTCTGCATTGTATCTTTATGGTACCTTTGTGGTACCTTCAGGTCTCAAGCCCCCAGTGCAGGAAAGATGTGGAGCTGTTGGAGAGGGCCCAGAGGAGGGCCACAAAGATGATCAGAGGGCTGGAGCACCTCCTCTATGATGAAGACAGGTTGAGGGATCTGGGCTTGTCCAGCCTGAAGAAGGAAAGGCTGCAAGGAGACTTCACTGCAGCCTTCCAGTATTTAAAAGAGAATTATAAACAGGAAGAAGGGAATCAACTTTTTTTTTTTTTTTTATTTTTTAACCAGGGTAGATAGTGATAGGACAAGGTGGAATGGTTTTAAGCTCATGGAGGGAAGGTTTAGATTAGATGTCAGGAGGAAGCTATTCATAGAGAGAATGGTGAGATGCTGGAACAGACTGCCCAGAGAGGCTGTGGATGCCCTATCTCTGGAGGTGTTCAAGACCAGGTTGGATATAGCGCTGGGCAGCCTGGTCTAGTACCAGATCTGGAGGTTGGTGGCCCTGCCTGTGGCAAGAGGTTGGAACTTGATGATCCTTGGGGTCCCTTCCAACCCGTTCTATGATTCTATGATTTATTATATGGGTCAAGATAAGTTGCTTTCATTAGGTGCCATCTTCTTGTATTCTTGATCAGTTCAGGCTTGACTGATGTGAATCGTGGACTAAGGCTTTCTATTCTGGTTACACTTTTTTATGCAGCTAATCTACCTCAGACAGCTGACGGTAATACTGGCACTTCTACAGGGAGAAAGAGGACAGAGACAGAAGTTGATTCTGCTTCATTTGCACCTTTCCATTAAATGTCTTTGCATAGCAGATACCTT